TATTGAAAAATATATTAATTCATTTGTTTCTATAAAAGAAAGGTGTTTAGATTTTATAATGCAACCTTATGATTATCCACATCATGAGTTAGACTATGGTTAGGTATTCAATTTAGTTCTAATTTCTGGTGCTAAGCTATTTATTTTATTTTAACTAACAAATCAATTTTGATAATTACTTTRCATTTKAAAAGAAATGTGTACTACTTAAATTTTTAAACATGTTTTATAATTCTAAAATTTAATAATTAGTGCCATACTCCTCCCACCCAGAAAAAATGTAATAACAAAKAAATATTTAGACGTTTTTAATAGGATTAGAGGCCATCCTGTTCCTCGCCAACAGAATATATATTAGCTAGATAACAGAGTCGTGCAAAATCGTACCTAGATAATTATTTGAATAGAAAATTATTTGAATAATAATTTTTGGCTAAATTTCAAAAATAGTTATTCAATAATTTCCAGTTAWTTWATTTGAGTAAACAATTCGATAATTATTTTTTCATAATTTTATTATTCGAATAAAAATATAGTTGAATCATTTCAAAACATAATATCTATCGTACTAATGCAAAATATGTACTATACTACTATTTGATGATTATAATCCTTCTAGTAAGTTTACATGTATGTAGTATGTAGTAGTATGTAGATGACTAGTGTTTACCCGTATTTACCTCAGTAGTATATGATACAATATCATGCAGGGCCTCCACAATGGGAGTGGGTGGAAATTCAGAAGGACCCATGGTATTGGGGCTCAAACTTTCGTGGGGCTCGGAAGTTCATGCAAATAATTATTTCAATATACTCGTACATGTCCCACGGAGATCTGACATTTTGACGAATAAAATAAATTTTGTTATATTAATATTTTAAAATTTTTTTTTTTTTAATACAATGCATAGACACTTGCACCATATTTTTATTTTTTATTTTATAATACTGAAAATAAAAAACTTCAAATTTTTTTAAAAATATTGATTAGAACAAAAGTTATTTAATTTGCCAGAATAATGGCAGAATGTYAGATCTCCGCGGGACACCCTATATATTAGAAAAATTTCCAAACTTAATTGTTATTTAAGAGGAGCCCGGATTTAGTTCAGTACCAGGCCAAAAATATGATGTGATGGGCCTGATATCATGTATCATAATTTAAAGTATAAAGACGCTCATAGATATTTAGCCAGACACAAAAGTATATATAATAATAATATGTAGGTATATATATATAATAATATATAAGCATTACGCTTGTTTATTTCAAAGCTCACCTCCGCCATTCTTATAGCACAGGTATGGAAATCGCCAAACGTTGGCCAAGTCCACGGCGAATCCTATGACGGACATTAGGAAATCCGTTTTGTTTGACCACTGTTCCCTGCCAGGTCGCCTACGCCGCTCCAGCGGAACCGCTGGCGGCGTGTTGGCTTCAGCACCGCCGTCCTCGTCGTCCGTGGCCATGTCACGCGATCGCCCCCCCCAAAATGCGTCTCCGAACTATCCACCCACTTTCCTGCACAATATAATTTTTTATATATCATTATTATCGTGTCTCAGACGAAATTACAAACTACGAACGCGAATAGGTATTTAAATTATTCTCCGGAAGCTGGAAATTTTATTTTCTACGCTGACGAACGAATCTCGAATAAGGTACGCACCACAATAATTGAAAAATGTAAATGATATAATATATTACACATTATAATATAATAATTCGTTTTTATTTTTCAACGACTAGAGGGGTAGTATACTACAGCAACAATTTAATATTATAGTAATATGCGGCGGGATGATACATGAARGCTTTATAGTCATTCGTCAGCGTGATTGAACTGTCGTCGACACATTATATTATGAGTAGGTATACTGGACCCAGTGCCAGTATTCACTGCAATTTAATTAACCAGCAATTATTAAACAACAAAGCCCGTTKCCAAAGTAGGAAAACATAAAGCCTATTGTACACACGCGCGCWCAGCGTTATATGTTATGTTCGTTTTTCATTCATTTGGTTTGACGTGGTAGCCGTTAWACTACACTTATTATACCTATCTATTACCTAATACACTGAATAGAAAAATATTATAATAATATAATATGGTGTATTATGGTATATACACGCGCGATATGAGACTATATGAGAGTGTCGGACGAAATCARTTAACGAGTGGTTCATCAAGGCGTTGTATTGACACACAAAAAAAAAATTAACATGCTAATCGAATGTAAAAATAGTGAAATTAGTATTGATCACATCTGAAATGCACAACATATATTATATTATTATATTATTTACTACTTACTACTACATATCAATGAATCGACGAATTTTAAAGTATCATATTATAATATAAATATATATTGTTGAATAAATAATACAAGAAACCTGAATATAAAATATGTAATGCGTATACAAAGAAGTATTTTTCTGATTTCTGAAGAATATTCTTACTTCAGTAAATCCAAAGTTCGCGATACCGTAGTAGAACTATTGAGATTGAAAAATATTGTTAAGCATTCTTTTGTCAAAAATTGTATAATGTTACTTATTGATACACTGATGCACACGTAACGTTTAAGATTACGATACTTCCAATACGGCAATACCTACATCGAACTAACTAAAATTATAATATGGTAAACCTATAAATATTAAAATTAAATGTATTTAACAAACAAATAGCAAAATTAATATTTAACGTCATATTATAATGTGATCAATTATTGTGAAAAATGAAAATTGCCTGTCCATTTTAAGAAACAAACATTCTTTAAAAGTAGTTACATAATATTTTATTGTCATCAAAGTCAATTATTATAAATAAAATCGGTTCTGTTTCATATTATAATTATGATGTAGGTACCTAGTTTTTAAATATTTAATAATCAATACAATAAATAACAAATCGTATTTTATTTTTATATTTGATATTTAAAATACTATATAAATTAGTTGTAACATTTACTWAGCATTTTTTTTTWAAATTTTAGAACTGATTTTATTTGTTTGTATGTTTAATGTTTATATTAGACATTTTAAATTATGTTGCATCACGTGGGTAAAGAAGTTGATTATCTCATATTAATTTAATCAAAAATATCATTATATTTTGCCAATTTATATCATTTTCAAGCGAAGTTAATGAAAACATGAGCAATATCGATGCCTTGAACACCAATTTATGGCGTTTATAATTGAATTACACAAATAATCTAACAGATACGCTTCATCCACGTATACCTATTCGTTTAATTGTTGAACATATACGTAATATTCCGTGACTGACTAATTAGTAATTAGTAATTACCTATTTTGAAACTTATAAATATTTTAATTAAACAACCATGAAATGTTATCGAATAGTAGTTAAATAAACAAGGGATAATACAAGTTTAATTAAATAGGGCAATAATGTTAAATTTGATATCATTTTTAATCGATCTTCTAAATGTATCTGTGCAATTAGAACATGGTTAAATAAAAAAGTATACATGCAAAAAAATAATTGTAAAAGACAGAGGTACAACAYTGAACATACCACTTAATATCGTTTGAAAATAATATATTCCGATACACTAAATGGCGGTTAACATTTTGTATATATCTTCAATATTATTGTTTATTTTAAATAAAAAAATTAAAAGACTAATGTCTAATATAGGTAGGTATATCAACATTTTGGATAAAATAAATAATCAATAAAATCAATCACATTTTTCATAATAGAACAGTATCATATAAAATACTAAAATTTATATAACCTCAATAAATTAAATTAAACTTGACAAGAATGCCTGTGTCATTAGATATTAATTATGTGGGCTGAATTTTATCCCTTCAATACTCACTACTTATTGGCTATTACCTAGCAGCTAATTCATATTTTTTAATCCATTATTTATTTTTATCTTAGTTTTAATTTTTGAAAAATGTATTATATAAACTATTTGTTCAACGTTGATCCAAAAATACTTATATTTACTTAGAAAATCTAAAAAATAAAGGACTAATAATTGACATGCTTGAAGTGGTACCAAAATTTAGAATATTATTAAGTATGTAACTCCAGTTAATTTTTATAAAATAATTTTGTATACTATTTATAAAAATACCTATAATTTACTTTGTGTTAACAGATAAAATTATTTTTCATCATACAAAACAGATTATTAATTCTTAAACATCAAGAATTTCTTTTAATATGATTAATAAAACTGATACAAATTGATCATACATTAACAAGTTAATATAAATAATCTTGGCTTCCTTAAAGTTAAAAACAAATCATCGGGCAGTCTCACAATATTATTATGCAAACACATAATATTAATTGTATTGTTATTTACATTAGAATAATGAGTGCATAGACAACAGACGTACAAATATAAGTAAATACGGTACCAATAAATTTAAATTTATTTAAACGGACGTAATGTATAATATTTTACCTGGTGCCTTTCGGCTGGTTGGATACCCGGCCCCGAAGCATCAGCACACCCGCGTAAATTGAACGTCGTATGCTTGTGAAGATTAAATAAGGCGCGCGATCTGACAAAATAATATTGTCGGTGGTTTCGTGCTTTTTCACAACGCGTCGACCAATCGGAACCATATCATCTGCAGCGCTTGCGTGTATTTTGGCTAACATTTTAGACTGGCGGGGTGTTTTTTTTTAATAATAATAACAAATTAAAATTTTTTTTTTTTTTTTGCAAAACAAAATTACACGTATACAAATTATTATTATTTTAACTAGGTACCTATAGAATTAATAACATAGCAATGAATTCGTTCAGTTTTCTGATATTTTCCGACAAATACAATAGTCTGTTAAAATTTCRACAAGTTTTTTTCAATTTTAAGGTAATTTTCTATTTTAACATTTTAATCATATTAGAACAAACTACATCTATTTTATAATACTAATGCTATTTTAGTTATTATACTTATTTTTATTTCAATATCACACACAAAGTATATGACCATTAATTAAGTATCTATCACATTATTACTTTACTACTATTATTAATATTAAATATATTATAAAGTACCTAAATTTAATAAATAATAACTATAGGTAAATATCATCATAAAAAGTTAAATCTTAAAAATATCGTTTTTGTGTTACGTGGATCAACAATATATTGGTAATTTGAATAAGAACGTAATACGTAAACCTCTCTTCAATTATATATGTACCGCAAGACAGCTATTCAATATTCCGTTTGGTAATTAAAATACTCCTCTCATGCCTCAGATCYAAAAATTTGGTATGGAATAATAGGTACCTTGATGCCTAAACATATTTTATTTCAATTAGTTTTATAATAGGTACCAAATGACAAAAATATTTTGTAGTTGTATACCTTGGGTGTACAATTGTGTATGGCATATAATATACATTACATTTTATAAATTATAAATATAAATAAAATTATATTAATTATTTTTAGTGGTGGCTAGTGACG